TTTGCTCAAATTCTCATAATCCCTCTAGTTCAGCCACTTCTCTCGTTTTTCAGCTGCGAGTTCATGTTTATAACTACAAAGAATTTACACACGGAGGTACAAGATGTTGTTTTAATCAGAATCATACTCATCATCTGGATTGGGGCACAGGTCAGGCCATTGAGTGTCATCAAGTCTGTCCTCCTCGTCCTGCTGATGGAGCAGCGGGTACAATTCCTGCATCTGCTGCTCCACAGGGGACAACGCTGTGGTGATAAGGCGGTTAAGAAGAGAACAAATACAGAAATACAACAACATCCAGACAAGGTCAAAATAGCTGCAAAAACAGCAACAGAGATTAGGACTGAATCTACAAGATTTCTGTCTTTTCCAAAGACATTCATCCAATGTCCCAAAAGGAGTTATCTATTCCTGAGTGGTCTTTCATTTTGCTGTGAAGCTTTTTTAGGCCCTCTATGGCTCGAGTGAGGCTGCCATCAGCAGCAGTGTTATCAGGAATGAACGTGCAACACGTTTCTCCAAACATGGCACATACACCTCCTTTTTCTGCGAGCAGCATGTCAAGGGCTATACGGTTTTGGAAAGCCATCAGGGATGTTGCAGACAACTGCGAGTGAACGGCCTGAAAACCAGCCTCAGTCCAATTACCTAGCTTTTGAACGTTGAAATGGATGTAGTTGATTCTGATTCGATCTATATTTTTGTTCATTGTACACCAAGGACAGACGAGAGACTCAAAGCCTGCAGCAACTTGATTTACTAGTTTATACTCATCTGGTACCTCACGAGGAACTATCTATATTAGTCGGGTCTGACTCTGTTTGCTAGTTTCTTTTACTCTGGAGTGGCTCAACAAAGGAATAAGACTAACTGCAGAGGTTAAAATTGCCACACTAGTCTGGAAAGTTACAACAGTTAGGATTAAGGTCACTAAGGCCCTATTATCAGTCTGCTGTCATTCAGGGACAGCTACAGAAACACGTACAGGTTTGTTTTGTTATGGTTAGGGAATTCCTAGTACAGACATAGAAGTTAGACTGATTCTACATTTTTGCTAGATATTTTGCATATCTGTACCACATGTTCACTTCAAATAAGTTGTTTTTTTTTTTTTATTGAGTGGGATTGCGAAGCATTCCCACTATATTTTATTCATATCTTTATTAATATTATTTGTGATGTACCTTTAATAAACATAAGTATAAGTGTTTATTGACAAAACAAGCATACACAAAATCCCATTGTATACAGAATAACACAAACGCCTAGTAGCAGTTAAGCTATGGTAAAGTTCTCAGTGTCTTCACCACATGAAGCAACTGTGGTGTCTGTCTGGGTGATTCATACCCCTGCTCACTGTCTCTCAGGTTTCCTCTCTGCACATGGTCGCCTTCAGAACAGCTGAATGTGATTTTTGATTGGTTGTCACACAGGATGTGAGGACTATTGTTGTTGTCACTTCTCTTTCCTTCCTTAAGTTCATCTGAAGTTGTAAATAATGTTTTCAGTAGGTAAATTAACAGTATCAGGTTTAGCAGAAGTAAGATACTTAACTTCCCCATTTTCCTAAGCTCCTAAGGAATTCAAGACCATCTAATCTTCACTGACATTGAGACGAACGCCCACTATAAGGACGCCCCCCTTTGAAGTCAGACTTTCCTTACTAAAACCCATATAGGTTTTTTTTTTGCAATGGGAAAGATGTATCCAATTACTTCTTTGTGCTATTTTTACTGCTGTGGGTGTCATTAGCAGTACCTTTTTTTAGGGCCCGAGCGTAGCTGCTAAGCAGCTGCGAGAGCCCTATTGTTCCTGTATCGGTTTTTCTTTCTTTCTTTCTTTCTTTCTTTCTTTCTTTCTTTCTTTAGGGCCCGAGCGTAGCTGCTAAGCAGCTGCGAGAGCCCTGTTGTTCCTGATAGATTCTTCTTTCTTATTCTTATTATTTTTCTGCCCCTTTGAACTGGAAAATGGCCCACTTCCCACTGGTGAAAACTCATGAAATTTGGCAGGACGGCCGGGCCTGGTGAAAAATTCGATATTCTGAGGTCGCCCAAACAATCAAATGCAAAATGGCTCCATACCGCCCCCTAATGTGAAAAATTCACATGATTGAGTGTCACGCCTGTACGCTTTGTCAAAATGACACAAAATTTGACACACACGTGTATCTCAATAAGATCTACAAAAAAGTCAGCGCGGGCGTATCTATCAAATGTACGGTTAAAGGGCTATTTCGCATTTTTTGCCGATCCGCACACATTGGAATTTCGCTAACTCCTCCGAAGGCTTTCGTTCCACCGGCACCAAATTTGCTCAGGCCAACCTACACCCCATGGCCATTGAAAATCATACAAATCATGACGCTGCACCCCACGGTTTAGGTTCTAGGGGGCAACAAAGATAACCCAAAAATCCACATTCTTAAAAGTCTTATAACTTTTTATTTTTGTCCTCACTGGCCTCCAAGTTTTCTAGGATGATGCAATGTCCAGCCATCAAC